TAATGGCTTAAACCCATAACACATAATTAGCGAGCCGCTAATAGCTCAAGCCCATAAAATAAGATTGGCAAGCCAAACCGACAACACATAATTAGAAAGCCACTAATGGCTTGAGCATAACACAAGATCGACGAGCCACTAATGGCCCAAACCAATAACACATGATTGGTGAGCCACCGATGGCTCAAGCCTATAACATAAGATTGGCAAGCCGGTAATGGCTTAAGTCCATAACACAAGATTGACAGATCACTAATGGCTTAAGCCTATAACATAAGATTGGCGAGCCACCGATGGCTCAACCTATAACACAAGATTAGTGAACTAGTAATGGCTCAAGCTCATAACACAAGATTTATCATATACACACATATCATGTTTGATTGCAAAACGTAGTGTCAACCCTTGATGTTAACAACGGTTACTTTGTCACATACACAAACATCATATTTAATAGGCTACACCACACAACACAACACAACAAGAACATCATATTCGCCGATCATATCACAACAACACAATCATGCTTAAATATGCATACCGAGATCGATAATTTTTCTAGATAAACCATTAGAGTTAAAGCTCATGTCCAGATCCTTCTAGCTCCATCATAAAACATTAAACATCAACCTTATTTCTTTTTAAAAATACATAAGATCTTAGACTATTTTATATTCGATACACAACGATATATCTTAATCATACTTCAAATACTATATTTAGTCAATAAACATCAAATCCATTTATAATTTACATTCATACATATTTGAACTTAAGAAAAAAAATGTAAGAGCAATATAAATGCATTGGAAACTTACATGATCGATTAAAATGATCGAGGTGCTTCCCTAAAAATGTAAAAAATGTCTTTTTAGGTTAAATGATGAATTTGCATTTATGCAAAAATTGATTTTAAAAGTCATCAAAATAATCCCCAATCATTCCAAAAAGCTCTAAGAAGTAAGGGAAGGATGGTGTTACCTTTTTCAACCCCTCAATAAAGAAAAAATGATGTTGTCAATCGAAGAGAGAGGTTAACAACTCATATTTCTTTATCCTTTACTTATTTTGACCAACTTCTTCACTCTTTAATGGACACAAATGATGTTCTTAATCAAAAGGGGAAGGTTAGCATCAACAAATCGAGTTTGTGTTTTGGGATTTAGACTTTGGATTTCAATGAGTGATTTTAAGGTTTAGTTTAGATGGTTTTGAAGGGATTTCTGGGCCGGACGGTGGCGGTGTTTGGAGGTGTTATTGCTAGAAAGTTGATGGTGAGTTTGTGATATTGTTTTAGGGGATGGCTACTACTCGAAACGTTGTCTGGCAAGTTTGTGGTAATGTTTTAGGAGCTTTGGCTAATGGCGAGGGGCTGTCATGGGGTTGTTTTGGGTTGGTTTGCTACTAGAATTGATGGTTGGACGAGTGGCGATTTTGGAGGGGTCGTTGCTGAAAAGTTGCTAGCATTTTTGTGATGTTGTTTTAGGAGAAAAGCTACTACTAAATAGTTATTGGAAAGTTTCGTTTTTAGAGTTGGGTTGTGTTTTAGATGGTGGAGGTGAAGGATGATAGAGTTTTGATGGTAAGTGTGAAGGATGATGGGTTTTGATGGGAGTGTGTGGAGTATTGAGTGCCGGTGGTTTTGATGGGAGTGTGTGGCTTTTTGGTTTTGAGAAAAAGTGTTTTCTTTATGTTTATTATCTCGTGAAAGAAAATGAATGGTCACCTTCCTAGGAAAGAGAATAAAATAACATATGTTTTAATAGTGGGATTGTTAGGGTTTAAGGTAAAAACCTCAACTTGTTCTTCCTTATTTCAATTTTAAATCTTATCTCTTTATTATTTTATTTTCTTTCGTACACAACCAATTGGAATTCGTTTTCAAATAAGCCTCTCATTGAATTTTATTGATCTTAATCTCCTCTATATATACATATGGAGAGAGAGAGAGAGAGAGAGATTCATGAAAAATTAAGGTAAAAAATAGGTGCTAACAAGATATAATTTTAAAAAAACATATTATGAGTTGAGAAAAAAAAATTTCCTCATACTTTGACACTTCTAAAATACTTTTAAAACACTAATAAATAAATAAATAAATAAATAAAAAACCTTTACATGCTATTAATTCTTTAATATATGATTTGTTGATGTATGTAATCCATTTACTTCATTTACACAACAATTTTTCTCGAATTTAATTTTTTTTATTTGAATTCTATTCTAATTTTAATTTTTTTTTAAAAAAAAGGTAATTCATATATTTTGAGCACCAATTATAGAAAATTGAATGAAGCGTTATCTCCGAAGAAAGAAAGAAAGAAAGAAAAATCTAATTTGACGACCAAATTGGGCATATTTGAGGCCAATCGCACATGCTTGGGTGGTTGGCTCGCTAAATTCTTCAATTTTTATTTATTTATTTATTTTTCCCTTAAAAGCTAACTCGTTGTTTTATTTTTTTCATACTACTTCTAAAAGAATTAATTTAGGTGTGTTTTTTATTTGTAAATAAATAAAACTTTTGATATTTTTTAAAAAATTTCTTATAAAAAGAAATTCCTTAAAGTGAGAAGGAGAAAATTAATTAAAAGATAAATTTTGATGACAATTTTCAAAATGAATAGTACAAACATAGCATTTCTTCCTAATTTAAAATAGGGGTGATCATTCGGTTAAACGGTTCGATTTTGTACGATTCGATTCGATTTTCGATTAACCGAATTAAGAAAAATAAAAACCAAAACCGAACCGAAATAAATTTAGTAAATTCGGTTTGTAACCGAATTATTTCGGTTTGGTTTCGAAATATTTCGGTTTTAATCGAAATATTTTGCTGTAAAAAAAAATTATTACACGGAGACGTTTTGTACTAGCACTTAGTCCACTAGCCAATGAAATAACATATCAATTAATCATTTTTATAGACAATCGAAATCCCTACCCATCGACCATTACATAAAAGACGCTGAAAATCGTCCCTAGTGTGGACTTTTCAACTGTTACTTTCTTCAAGAAATATCTTCCTCTTGTTACACCCTCTTCTATCTCGCTTTACTTCAAGTTGCCATGCTTAATTTTGAACTAAATGATGTGTGTGTTACCACATAAATAACATATCCATTATTTAGTCGATCATTTGAATCGGGACGAGTAACAAATTAACGAGACATGCTAGGCTATCTCACTCAATGATATAAAAAATTCAATAACCGAGTAAGTGCTGTAGAGATAATTGTAGAAGTAGCTAAAGAGTTGCTCCAAAAAAAAAAAATAATAATAATAATAATGGCATAATAACTTGACAAAAAGAGAATTTATATAGAAACCGCAAAACTGGTTTTAGTAGAGATTTGAAATATTATTTCCTCATCTCGTGTGTTTCGGTTTCAGCAAGAATGAAGATTGAAAAGTTAGAGATTTAGAAATTAGAAAATTTTTTACTATTTATTTCGGTTTTCGTCGAAACCGAAATTTTTTTCCAAAAAACCGAACCGAACCGAAATAATTTCGATTTTTTCAGTTCGATTTTATATTGTATAATTTTACGTTTAAAACCGAACCAAATTTCATAATTCGGTTCGATTTTATTCGGTTTTCGATTAACCGAACTCGTTTGCTAAACCCTAATTGAATGTATATAATTTTTGGTAACATCCTTAAGAAGTAAAAGTTGAGAGGGTATAAATTAATTAATTAAATTTATATCACCCAATATATATATATATATATATATTTGCTCGATCAGTTATTTTTTTTTTTAATATAACTTTGTTATTGCTATAAATAAATTTTTTTCGCCTTCCTGGAGCTAAATGCAGACGCGTAAACTTGTAACTCCTATAATAGTTTAGCCTCATTTTCTTAAGTTCGTTACGAAGACCACGAAAATTATAATATTTAAACTATAAATAATTTTTTGATTTTTTTTTTAATTATTATAAAAAGAAATTCCTTAATGCGATTCAAATTTTTGAATGGCTGATTGAATATCAAAAGACAGATGGACTTGACTACTGGAATAATTATGGCAGCGGAAAATACAAATGAATTCATAATAATATAAGCATAGGCATGGCTCCAAGTGCGAGTCAAAAGAGCTTTTTTTGTTAAAGTTGATTAATTTCTCTCTCAATGTTGTTATCCATCACTACAAGTAGGTTGAAATTGCGGTTGAATCCATCAAAATGCAGCTGAAACTGGCAAAGACAAAGTTTTCAGATTCATGTGCTTTTCTATGTCAGTCATCACTAAAAGCCTCATTTTGATAACCAGTTGCCATAAAAGAAGACTATGATTAAAGTGAGAATATACATTACGAAGGAAAGGCTGTTCACTGCAAAAGAATAAAGCACTCTTTTTTATTTATTTTGTTGTTCAGCCCTCCCTCCCTCAACATATATAAAAGCAAGAACTTGATATGGAAGAGCTCAACATGATAACGATTCAAGGATGCAGAACCTCACACAGTTAAAAGAAAAGCAAATATAAGGAACTAAAGATCAATATGATATTGACACCTCATGCCAGATGCATCCACAACACTGCAGAAATGCAAAACTTTTCCGGGAGTTGTCCAATTCAATCAGAAATTTCTCAAAAGCTCTCCTGCAGCTAAAGTGAGAGTAAGTGGGTCAATGCAGATTTGTAATGATACAAAATGGGGGATATGAAAAAGCTCAAGACCCACAATGGGAGGCCCCCCTTGAAAACGCATGACACAACCGGATGGGAATGAAACTATCCAAGACAAGTTACGGCAAAAGTTGGTTAATTTTTTGTCCTCCTTTTAAGTTTAAGCGTTCGGAAGGAGTATCGATGTTTCAAGTGGGTTCAAAGACAGAAATTTATATTCCAAACGCGGTTCACTCAGCAATGGTAACACAACCAGACCAAATAATCTGAAAAGACTTTGATGCCAAGGAGACAATATCATAAGGAGATGAGATTCCATTGAGAAGATGGATACACATTACACAACAACCACGTAAACTAACCACTTAAAGAACAACACTCAGTTTTCCTGCAAAAATCCATTAGAAAAATTCAAAATCTAAATAAGGACCTGATAATCTGTCTGAATCTGTAGCTCCCTCATCATTTCGAGCCAACGCTGACTTGAATGCGAGATTCAAAGATGAAAGGTCAACTGGTTTTGGAATTTCTGGAGGGTGAGTACTGCGAATGAGAGCCCAATTAACATTTTCAAAGAAAGGATGCTGCTTAATCTCTGTAGCACCGCTTTTGAACCCTAATCTCTTTTGCGGGTCCTTTATGAGCAGAGCACGGATTAAATCTTTTGTGGCAAAACTGACAGAAGATCCTTCAGGATATTTTAGGGGCTGACCTACCACATTAAATAATGTCTCTCTATTTCCATTGCCTTTAAAAGGTGTCCTACCAAGTAGTAATTCATACAAGAAGATACCAAATGTCCACCAATCAACAGCACTTCCATGACCGTCCCCTCTTATTATCTCAGGAGCTAAATACTCATGGGTACCAACAAATGACATGGACCGGGCTGTAGTTGGTTCTGCAATAAGTACAGGACGTGAATCTGAATTTGCCAGGTTCGGCTTTTCAATTTTAACCTTCGTTGTTTTGGAGTAGAAAAAACGAGGTTTAAAGCAAGATGGTTGCAAGCAAGGAGGCTCTACGCAAACAGGTAACTTGCAGGCCGGATCAATACACGGTGGCTCTATACAGTATGAAGAAATCCTGCAAGACGGCTCAGTACTAGATGATTGAACAAGAGTAGGACTCACGCAGCATCTTAATGACAAATCGAAGTCTGAAAGCATAATATGGCCATCCTCCCTCACCAAAACATTTTCAGGCTTCAAGTCTCTATAAACAACGCCCATCATGTGCAAATACTCTAAGGCAAGAAGCACTTCCGAAGCATAAAACCTGTATGCAAATAGAAAATTATTGGAGAACACTCCAAACTTTATCTATCATGCGCAAAATGAAATTCTAAGTTTCTCTTGCAGCGAAAGAACAAGGCCATCAATTATGATGACGTAAAAGAGGCAAGATAATTTTCGAAAAATCATTCCTAGCCTGTACTCAACCTCAGTGTTCATAACATTAGCCAAAACTTCATTGTGATTTATCCCAAGCATGAGACAACAAAATGTATTTAGTCAAAGAAGAAAATACCATTTCTATACCATTAATCACTGCCTTACTGACATCTCCCCTATTTGCTAATTACGGGTATTACATTAATGACCAAGTAATAAAACCAGATAGAAAGCAAAATAAAGTAGAATAAAAAACCAAAAGATAGATATTAATAATCTGAGAATTAAGCTAAGTACACACTAACCTTGCTGCTTGCTCACTAAAATGCTTGCCAGGCTGTCTTTGCCTTAGTATATGAAGATCCCCACCACAGCAAAACTCCATTAACAAACAAGACAACTTATCGGTCTCCAAATGTGAATAAAGAGTTGGTAAAAATGGATGATCCAACAAACCCAAAATCTCTCTCTCAGTTTGAGCTCTCAACAACTTTTTCCTCCCAGCTAACACTCCTTTATCCATTACCTTCATTGCAAACAAGCAACCCATCTCTCTCAGCTCAGCCAAATATACACTCCCTATATCCCCAACACCAAGTTTCTTCAATAGCCTAAAATGACCCAAACCCAACCCCAAATCCCCATCTTTACCTTTAACACACTGTATAGCGTCCCATCTAAGGTCATTCCCTTTATGGGGTTTAGAAGGGTAAGAGCTCCTAAAACTAGCCTCATTTGGATCAAAACTTAAACCAGTCTTTTCACTTTCTTTAGCTTCACTAGCAGCTGCACCATTGCTCAAATTGCTGCTATTACTAACGCTAACATCAGAGCTGGAACTACATAAGCTAATACTAACAGTGCTGCTAGTGAAACTAAGATCCTGAAAGCTGCTAGTAATCTCAGACTCCGCCTCAGTATCAAAAGTTTCCATCTTTTGTGCTGTTTGTTTGTCCATGATTGAATGTGGAGAAAGTGTTTGAGTGAATGTGTAAGAACTAAGAAGAGAAAAGGGGGTTGGGTTGTCTTACTAGTTAAAAATGGGTGTGGTCAAATTGGTGTTGGGTGTGACCGAGGTGGTCAAAGGGGCTTAACCATGGCTGGAGGGAGGAGGCTGGAAGAGGGTTAAACAGACTTAAATCAGGATTCAAATTTGAATTCCAGTAATGAGAGACCCTATGTGTCTCTCTCTCCTATTACAGTACCGTGCTTCTTGTTTTTGTCTCCAAGCTGTAACAACATTTCTTGGTTGCTGTAACTGTGACTCTCTGAGAGAGAGTCCCAGTTCACGAGGAAGACAAATGGCTCAGATTTTTTTATAAATAGAGTCCAACCTTTGAATGTCTTTGCCCCTCTAAGGAAGACACGTGTCAACATGAATTTAAAGAATCTTAATACTTTATATGTTATCACGGGTTCTCCAAATCCAATTGCCATAACGTCTTTATTGCGAAACAAAGAGAAAACCGTCAGCGAAATCCATCCATGGCTCCCGGATTTTGTTCCTACAAAAACTTTCAAAAAACTTCATATACATGTAAATTAGATCATTTAATTATTAAAATTAGGAGATATGAGGTTTTAAAGTTTTAAATCTAACAAAAAATATAAAATTGAATTTCTAACCTAAATAGTTATTTAAAAGTGATTTTAAGGTTTGTAGAAAGAGTTCTTGAGAATTGATCAAACGATAAGTCGACAAACTAATTAAAATACGAGAGAGATAGTATTGTGATTTATAAAAATAACAATCAAACAATTAAACAAAAAGAATACAAATAGCGAGAGGCGTGAGAAGAGAAGTAGACAGTGCTTAACAAATCTCAAGTTGTATGGCTAATAAGTGGATAGTCAAAGTTAAAACATATGGATCTTTACATATTGCCTAGTGTGTGAGTACTAGAGTTTTGAGAAGAAGAGTTCGGGACTTTCTTTTACTATAGATCAAAAGTTCTAAAGTCAAAAGTCAATGACATGAGGTCGGTATTTATAATGAAAGAAGATGACATTTTAACACTAGTATCATGTCACAACATCTAAGTTTAGACGATTAGATTTGATTTGAAGGATTTAGGTTCTTTAGGATAAATTACTTCAACTAGTTAGCAAAAGCTAAAAGTAGTAACAATTGAGTCTTCTTTTGACGAACCTTACTCTAAGCCCACCAAGCCAATCTTCCTAAAGCATTCCAAAAATAGAGCATAGACATTGTCCCTACCGAACACCTATGTCCATCATTGTTATCCAAGATCTTGTGTTGAGTTAAATCAATCCTTAATTCAATTTATTTATCATGTAACTTAGACCCATATTAAAAAAAAAAATAGCATGGATTAGTAGAGAATAAAAAGTTAGCTAACAAATCCCAAATTGCGGCTAGTAAGCTATCCTAAAACATATGTGTGTAGCATCGATGGGGCACCAATCATTGAATTGAATGGCAAACATTTGGGGCTCCTTGACTAATCGTACAATAGAACTTACAACATGCAAGGTGATTTGGGAGCATCCACCCTCCCACATGGTTAAAATTTTGGCACTCTCAAGTAACTAAAACTTCGACTCTCTATCTTTTATTTTATGACTTTTTATTTATTTGGATTATCTTTTAATTATTTGAATTTCATTTTAATTAGTTGGGCTTATTTTATTTATAAGAAATTAGGATAAAAATAATTAGTCCATATAGTTGGCGAATTTCCTTGTTGAGAGAGGATAAAGCCAAATGTACTTAGGTAGATGAATAATCTTTTGAGTTATGGATCCTTATTTGTTAGGGATTCTTTTATTCATTTTGAATCTATATAATATGGATCCATATTTAATTAGGTTGGATGAACAAATTCCTAATTAAAGATGTAAGACACGAGTCCAAGCTAAGAGAGAAAATGAGTCCTAGTTAGGAAAGGAGACAAGGTTCGACCAAGGTGGAATTCCTACCCTAGTCGACTTAGTTTAGGGCTTTTATGTGTAAATATTTAAACAAACTTTATGTTACTTTCAGAATAGATCGATGACATTTTGAATAAAATTTGAGAGATTTTTATCTATACTTTTTGCGTATTCCTTTGTTTGGACTGGTTAGGACATTATAAACATATTCTTAGAGTGATCAACTAAGGTGGGCATAAATCAAAATTACATCAAGTGGACTCTTGATGAATATATCCCGATAGTACTCCCTAAATCAAATTAGTTAGTGGATTTCTTCTTAGGGTGAGCCATTGAAACTTACTTTTATCTTTATTGTTTTGTTACTAGTTGATTGCGAGTTTAGTTGACATTCCTAACTGAATAATTTTGATCTTCAACTTATAACCAAGGCTAAGGATTTTATTTTGATCCAAAATTTTGACGAGTAGCTATTTAAGGAGTTCACTTAACTCTTGTAAAAAAAAAATAATAATATATATTTTTTTGTGTTTTAAGGGTGTCGAATTCATTGTAATTTTTAGAATCTATTTTGTCCAAGTTTTTTAGTAGCTAAAAACTAGGGCTAGGGAACTTCAGATTGAAAAGAAATTTGGTATGCATATACTTCGGGTAGTATCTAGGTTGTTTAAAAATTTTAGCCAAATTTGAGTTGTTTTGTTTGATGGACGCCTACACCCTAGATTTGGGTTTGGTGATTTTGGAGTTTTGTGTGTTTTTGTTTGAGGTTCTTGTTGATTGAGAAGTGGGTTTATGATTGTGGTTGTTTAAGGTCTTATTGGATTCTATTGGAGGTTGTTTTTCACTTTGGATATTTTGACCTATGGCTTTGTTGGTTGTTTTTGTTATTAAATCTTTTCGTAGAATGTAGCATCTCTTAATTCGATATCAGCTTGGTATTGGAGTTGAGGTGAGTTTTAATATATGCACAACCAATTATAGAGATGGCTATTACAAGGTTGTTGAGTGTGGACTTGTTTGTTAAAGAAGATTAGGTGAGACGTAATATGTTTCATACCTGTTTCCTTCCACACTTGTTAGATGTGCGAGTTGATTATCGACGGAGGTAGCTATGAGAATGTGGTGTCTTTATTGATGGTGGAGAAATTGAATTTGGTGACAATAGCTCATCTTCATCCTTATTTCTTGACTTGGTTGCAAAAGGGGAAGGAGATTCGTGTGTTGAAGAGATGTTTGGTGTCGTTCTCTATTGGCATAACCTATGTTGACAAGGTTTGGTGTGATGTGGTATCGATGGATGCTTGCCACTTATTTTTAGGAAGGCCTTAGTAATATGATCGCTAAGTTATACATGATGGTTTTTGAAACACTTATATATTTTCTTCAATGGAGTAAAGATTGTGATGTTTTCCATAAGGAAGGAAGTTTATGTTAATACGTGAGGTCATTTATACATTTATGTTCATAGAGGGGGTAGATAAAATTAACAAAGAAATATTCTTACAACAAATGTGGGTTTTAAAGCTAATATTTTTTAAGGATATGGAGATGATAAAGAGGTTGAAGAAGCTGACCTTATTAGTGAAAAAAGCATCCAAAGTTCTAGTGTAGGCATTGACGATGCTACCAATATTGATAATGCCTTAAACACTAAAGCTTTTAACAATGAAGTCAAAGATGTTACTGCTAATAACTAATTAACCAATAATGATGTTCATAGCAACCATGAAGTTGATTCGGAGGAGTATAGGGCTACTTGAAAATTATTCAAAACTTTCCTACATGTTTTTGACATTCGAGTACAAAAAAGTGTTATTGATGTTGATGAAAGGAAGTTCAATGTGTTGAATGATACCTCACTATCCAAACATATAAAGACAAAAGCAACATTGACATATAGGGGACAACATAGAAAAGTGTATCAAGAACATAAAGGGGAGATTCATTCAATGGTAAAGAATTACATTTGAATGAAACTTACAATAGTTTCATATTTCTATTTCCAATTCAAACATAAAACTATATTAGCATCGAATAAATTATTAGGCAAACTATATACTACTGGAAAGGTGTTTGAATCTAGTTTCCAATAGATCAAATAGTGCATGATTTGGAGCATCCAACTAGAAGTTATGGTCATTTTACTAATATGTGCATAAGATGATCCTTTTCGAGTGATGAAGTTTGCTAGTCCAAAACTTATGGACATTAACCTTCGAGATTATATGGGGAAGGAAATCGGAAAAGTGGCTGGACATTCATAAGATCAAGGCAAGAATGTCATCGACCATTGTGGTATTTTTGAACAAAAAATTATCCATAGAGAAGTTGATTTGGTGGAGGCTAAGAGTGTAGCTAACTTACTAAGCTTATATCTTGCATCTCTCATACGTCATGATATGGGAAAGAATCATGAAATGCTTGAGGCTGAAATGAATTATGTTAAGGGTAAGCATGATGATATGTTTAAGGTTGAGATGGAGTATGTTAGGGCTAAGCATGGTGATATGCTTAGGGATGTTGATGAGAATATCATGGGTGATGCGGCTAGAATTGTTGAGGGAGTAATTACATATTGTGTTGACCAATGTAATGTTGTTGAGAGTGTTGATGATGTTGTCATGATCTATAGGGTTAACATGAGTGTTTGTGAGGGTAATTATGGGTACTTAAGGGCTATCCAAGGTGGGGGAACAAGAGAAAAAGTTGCTACCATCAAGGGACATCGGAGCTTACTTGTCAAAATTGACAAATTCCAAGGACAAGAATATGATGCACCTATTGAGACCAACCACATTCGCTTTAGGGCTACTACCATAGACAAACTAGGGAGAGTTGATGCTGGACAAAGTGGAAGAAAGCTAGAGAATCAAGCCAAGGCCGCTAACTTTATCGAATTAGAGCATGACATACACATTGATGAAAATGCTAGCAAAAAAAAAAAAAAAAAAAGTCATGGGTTGAAGTCTCTAAATTTAAAGCCAAAACAACTTATAATGAGGGAGATTCAGCATGAGTGATGTAACACCTAAAAACTTTGCATGATAATATATTATGTGTATATGT